TGAGAGAACACAATGATTGGGTGCACCTGCGCCATTGCAAACGATTTTGAACCATGTCATTCAAGGTCTCTAACCATCGGTTACTATCATCTCGCGGATCCCAACTAGGTAGTCTACACCTACCAACATGACTCAGTCCACTTGTCGTTGATTTCATAGATTTGTGCCACCTTTTAGTCTGGCTGCCCCTAGCTTTCTTCTAACATACACTATTCTGTACCATAAAATATCGCACGTCGGGGTAGTCGGTGGTTGGGCATAAGTAACAAATGTCCCAGCCATCTCAACTGATGAATTTTCACGACTTCATCAATCAATTTGTTATCTTTACCTGGTTGGTACCCGTTTCCTAGTAACTGCATTACTTACCCGGTCGTCCTACGATATACGAGCAATGCTTCGAAGACATATGATCGAATACTAGTAGCCTACGAATATCCTCTACTCTTATCAGAACGAACTGCTGTGCAGTAAACCCGTCCTTTGGTTGGACCCGTTGAGTTAATATGTGATCACTTCTGATCATTTGTTTTTGTGCTGTTGTGAAAAATACAGTTATTCATCTATGAGACTGTTTATAATAGGTGTAAATCCCATTTATGCGCTGAGAAAATCCAACAAAAATGTGAATATGAAAATCGGTCTTCAAATAAGTGGTATTGTAGGGAGACTATAAATCCTAATCAAGGTATATCAATCAAAGAATGCAATTTTCCCACTAGATTAGTTGGAAGGACACCATAGTGTATTTCTTTTTAGAGGTATGAAGTCAATGGATTAGGAAATTTTCCTTCAAGATTGAAAATCATGACCAAGTTGTGTTGTAACTATGAGTAAATAATTTCTCTGTTATATGCCTCCGTTACCCATGGTCCCAATCACAGATATTTCTGTTAAGTAACTGGAAACGTATTTAAGTTGTAATTATTATTAAGTGAGGTCGGCATATTTACTCCATTAGCAAGAAAATTTTAAAATGATATTTTCAAGTCATATACTTTAGTATCAAAAGTTTAATTATCAACAAAAAAAAACTAGAATTTCAGGAGTTTGGTTCATTTCGACATACACTACATGTTTAACTTCATTCTACATGATACTATTTGATATTTTACATAATTGAACTATGAACTACCGAATATCGCTTCTATCTGCTTAAAGTTTAAGCGATACATAATGTTGGCTAAGGTTAAGTATACTGTCCCTTTCGACCATTACTGTATTTGGCTCTGTTCGTTATTAAGGTACAATATATAATGCATCCCGGTATCCGGAGAAAACCTGTTTAATAATATGTATTTTGCCCTCTTTATTTAAAACGTGTTTCAACTAAAAACCTTTTTTATTTAGCATAAATTAATGACATGATACTAAACAATGTACATTACACTTTCCCCGTTTGTATAGGGCATCTTATTTAAGGAGTATTACATAACATTGATTTGATATGAATTTTGAATATTGTACCGATCAGATAAAATTTATCTGAATCATTCTACAACATTAGATCATGACATATTAGATTATATTTTGATCACATATTAAAAAATATTTTTATACAAATTAAAAAGGTCAAACTAAACAAATGAAGACAAACAAAGAACAGGGAGAATAAGAGAAAAATCATCAATCATATCACATTTATTGTTGAAATCAATAATAATAGAGTAAGTTTAATGTAAGTATTTTTCAATACACAAGAGGATCCGAATTTTCGCATGATTAATAGCTTAATAAATTTAAATACACTCTCTAGATCACTCCTATATCAAACTAAAATGACTGGATTTAATTCAGTCTTATGACCTGTTCCAGCTATATATATTTTTAAAGGGAATGATTGTTTAAAATAATATACTGGCAATTAAAAGTTTTGCCATTACGTATTTGGGATAGTAAATCAAGATTTACTACTCTAGATCTGGAATCAGTCAAGGTTAACTGTCAATTTAAATTAAATCAATACAATATCATAATTATACCTCATGAGGATTCATTGTTGAACTAGTATAATTCCTAAAAGAATTCCTAATGTGATTGTTTGGAAGACAATATTATTTGTTTCATACAAATGATATTGTCTTTTGAAAATGAAGAAAGGAGTAAACTTACTTTTCCTCTGTAAAGGATAATCAACACAATAAACTAAGAACAAGAATGGTCAGATGTATGGCCAGCTCCTGAATACACCGTAAATTTTTGAAACCAAAAACGTTCTATTGCCTATCTAAGAATTAGAATAAAACATCGGTCACACCTTATCTTATTTTACAATGACCTACTCTGTGCTTCACGAGCTCACCTTAAAGATTATGCATTCGGTCAACCTTAAGAGAATATTTATTTGTAATTTGCAGAATGGTTTTAATATTTTCAAAGAGAATCGATAGGATTAATTTAAACTAGGAGTACATAATTTAATCTGCTGTATATGTTATATTAATTGGATGCCGTAGTCGGCGATTATCGAATCCATATAAAGTCCTGTGATACTGACTGTAAAATTTTTATATGGACGCGTCTGAATAAAACAATAATACTGGAATCAAATATCACAATAAGTGAAGTTAACATGATCTCATTTATAGTTAAACTACTTTATTAAGTAGATATCTGTATAATAAAAATTTCTGCCCCCCCCCCTTTTACACAAACACGTCGTTTGAAACCAAATTTTCTTGTTGTACAAAGGTGGCTAATAGATTAACGAGCATCGCTTTACTAATTTAACATTTTTTAACGAATGCTTCCATTATTTTATAGAAATTATTGATCTCGTCATCGTACTTCATTCAATTTGATTGATGCATTTCTTACTTAGTTTAGTCATGATCAAAGCTGTTGTACGGTATTATCACTAGACACATGATTTCTCTAATGAAAATGTTTCCGTACTAGCTACTGTACCGTTTTTCTTCTTAAACATATTTACAAACTACTGTGAGCAGTTCATTATGGTCTATATGATTAGTAAAAAATTATACCAACTTGCCTACATTTTTAATTGATATTTTGTTTGCTATGATCGATTTCTTTTATATGGATTGAACATGTGTGGATGAGGAAAATCCGCAGAATCACGTACTATTTTATTATTCCACGACTTCAGTATGCAAAACTACATTTCATATTGGAATTAATAAGTAAATGTTTAAAGCGTATTAAATTAAATGAGTCTACTTCACACCACAATATTTGTTCCCTTTATTCCAAAGACCATACTTAAAAGACAATGCTCAATTGTTGTAAAGATACTTATGTACACGACTATAGCCTAGCAAGTGTCAACATACTCCATTTCGAAACATGTACTACGGTCGTTATTACATGCCTAAAGAACTACGAATTTTAGCCACTCATCACACTTTGAGTGTGAGAGCTAATATCACAACCCGGTTTTCGAAACTGAAGTAGGGAGAGGACAGTTAGTTAAAAACTTTAACCACTAAGCCATATACATATATATTACAGAACAATTTATTCAACGCTTTATTCTAACAGATTACTTACTACTCATGGATGTTTGAATTAACTTCAACAGATAGAAATATTCGTAATAAATATTACGAAAAAGAACTGGGATATATAACAGTCTGTCAATAAGTCTAGGTTCGACGAAATGGTTAGGATTTTAAATTTATGAAACCTAATTAGATCAAGAATATATGAACTTTCGGAAATTTTATTTGTGTAGTACTAATTAGTTGACGTGTGACAAATCCAGTTTAGTGAATCTGACGACTTATAGCTAGCGTACTGGTTTTATTTATACGCGAAGAGAAAAAACGAAAACTTATGACGACGGAATGAATGGAAAAGACCATGGACAGATTTCACTGGAAATCAAAAATTAACGGATATCAATTCCAATCTGAAATATGTGGTCACAGTTACACTGTGGAGTACACAAAATATCTTACACTTTTGTTGACAGAAGAAAAACTAACAGTTCTCATCATGTGGCTCATGGATAGATACATAACTAGTTAGGAAACCATTTTAAAATAGAAAAATGATTGTAAATTTGTTTTATCCTGACTCAGAAACTACTAAGTAATATGCACTTTTAAATCTATAAGCGATAGATTATAGGACTTTCATTGTTTATTAACTTTTTCCAACAGAGGATCTTTTAAATTTGCTAATATATTTCCGTAAAAATCGACACCCTTGTCTATTTGAAATGGAATCATAGTTTTATGTGACGCCTAATAACGAATTTAAAAAACTCTCCAAAATAACTTTTTCAGGAAAGTGTTAGCAGACGACATACCGAAAAATACACTTACTTAAAAAACCAGACTATTTCTAATTAAACAAAATTCCTCGTTGCCATTATGTTGTATATCAATGTGAAGTCAGAATCTATCACTCTGATTCTCTTCTAGTAAAATGTAGACGTAACTTTCAATGTAATCTTACTATTACAAATAAACTGAATGTTACAAGCTGAAAATTTTGTACAGAAATCCTTGGTAGGTGCAAATTGTCCACTACTTTTATTTCAACAGTGATCCTACATCCATCACATTTTTATCCTAACTCTCATCGTTTTGGAAAACACTCCCCTCTAACATAACTAATGTACGGTTTAGGTGTGATGCCACGCATAGCACAGGTTAGTAGGATCGTTAGACTAAAACAAGTTTACTTTCCAACATTAAAATGTCAACTGATCCTTGTACATGATTCAAGACCACCATAAACAGTGAATATATCTAGTTACTCAGTTAAATAACCTCATATTTCGGAAACTGGCAAAAATATTTAATTTAATAATTTAAATTTACCGAAACACGAAGTACTTTGTACTTGAGTGCTATTTACAAAACGTGTAGTGCGTCCTAAACATTTGTCAAGACTTCACTTACCAGTTTGTCCATCCTCAGTATTTCACTACGTCCAACTAGATCTATTCGAGTAACAATTAAGAGCTTCAGTTCATATTGCACAATCACATTCACGACTAGGTTTAATAGATATCTCAACTACGAAAAAATTTCCTGACTTAACTTTTATTTATTGAGACAAATGTTTTTTTTAGATATACACGTATCCAAGAAACATTTTTTTATTTTCGAACTTCAGTAACGACAAAACACGAAACTGTCAGAAAGAAATGCATAAACTGTGGTTATTCAACAAAATAAGAATAAACTGAGCACATCTGAAGTGCAATTTTAGGAAACCAAAAGGGATCTGTTACTGGAATTCCAGTATAAAGGGAAATATTCACAGAAAAGTATTGACAGAATTAAATAGTTACGCAAACAAGTATATCGCAATCTTGTGAAGAAAATTAAATTATGTACACTGTTTCCGCACAGGCGAAAACTACGCAGATCTTATATAGAAAATAAATTTACAAGATCTGGTAAGGAATGAAATTAACCCGACGAAATTTCTGGGAGTCTCTAATCTAGGTACACGAGTTTTGCAAATTCAAAAGAATATATTAGTTCTTGAAGACTCTGCTTGTTCTATTTCTTCTAGCGTTTTCGCCTTCGTTGAATTAAAGGATGGATTAGATCTAAGTGGTTGTTTTGATTTTTCCCACTCAACGAGTTGTGATAACAAAGTCAAACTTCCATTACTAGTTAGAGATTCATTAACCTTAGTTTGGTGTTGAGCAGAGAAATTCTTATTCCAATTAATAGATGACGCTAGTGCTGGGCTTGAGCTTTGGAACGGCAATAAATTTCCATAGTTTTGTTTTGAACACGGTAAAGATCCATGAGAATTATTTAGATTTGAGGGCTCAATACTGCCAAGGTAGAACTGCTTCACATTCATATCAAGCAGACGATGGCTAGAGTCTGAAGATAATAATTACAAAAAGTTAAAAATATTCATAAAACATGAATTAACTGCAGTAAACCAAGAGTTAATTTTGCTTTAACGCAGTATAACTCACCTAGGTTCGTTGTATGCAATATGTAAACGATCAGATCAGAGTATGGACATGTCTTTACAGTGACTACTCACTTTTCGGTTCAAGGTTGAAATCGTACTACAGACTTTACAAGGACGTTGGTAGTAACTGTGTTTAATGTAGAAAACTAACATATCTACCAATTTATTTTACACAGATGAGAGGGGTTAAAATTCATTAGTTAGAAATAACAAAAATTTTCGATCCCAACACCAAAATCTAGAGTCGTTTGCAACACTCTCCAAAATGTCACATTACTTGGCTGAAGCAATTGTCAATTACAACTTGGGTCTAAGTTATAATAATTATGCAACTCATTTATATTGAGGGCCTAATTGGAAAATGGTAGATTTAAATAGGCTCCTCCCAACTCTTAATACAGTTGACAGGACTAAAGTTAATTTAAAGCGAGGGATTTTAGTGGGTTATGATGCGTTAAACTCTTTTAGGATAGTTTAGGTTAACCAATTCGACAAACTGAAACACCAGCGAGTCTGGGAAATGAACATAATCTCATCCACCTGGCCGCTTGACTTTTGTCAGCATGAGTCACCCGTGGTGTAGGTAAGATGTCTGTTTGCAAAACAAAAACGAGTAAGCCGAACAGCAACTGGTTTCATCTTAGCCTTACGGCTGTGAAAACTGACCTTAAAAAACAAATATCCGGTTGTTACTACTTGATTAAAAGTAACTATGAAGCATTGCTAAAGAATGCTGGAACCACCGAGTAAACAGGGCTGAAGCTAGATGCAAGATACGAAGCAAAATGATAAGACTTTAAAAGAATACTGATGACGAAGCTACACACTTTGGAGATGACTGTTAATTGATAATTTTGCTCCTAAGAACAGAAAGCAAATGACAACGGAACAGAACATAATGCTTGTGGGAAACAGCTTACTACTGTAGTATTTATGTTCGGGAAGTAGTATGGCTTTGATTATGAATAGGCATTATGATAAGAATTACTCAGGCATCAATCTTAGTTTAATGCTTCGAGTGAAAAGTTTGCCATTTCGTAAAACTAAATGAGATGAACGAAACGCAAGATGAGCAATGTCAGTTCAAATTAGTCAAACTTCCAACAAAAAGGAATCAATTATGAATTATATGGAAATTGCATTTCACAATGTAGTCATTAAGATTGTATCACATGTAAGAGGATAAGTAATCTTAGATACAACTAACCTTCACAACTACATACACACACAGAAACGGCATTACCTACCTTGGTGAACTGATGGATTGACAGACAAATGGCTTTGGTTATTATTGAAAGTAGAGTTTGGTGCCTGTTTATTTGAGTTGTAATCAGCGAAAATATTTTGTTGAGCCTTAACTATAGGTCTTCCAGGTAATCCTGAGTCCGGAGTTTTAATAGTTTGACATCTAGATGCATCAGGATACAAACCTAAACTTAGATTCAGTAAAACTGCTGTTATTACCTAAGGGGTGCAGTTGTGGGCTTGTGTGAGAAGCAACATCCCTCGTGCCATTCCAAATTTGACGAAGGGGACCTAAAAAGTAATTTAAGGAAAATCACTATACCATGCGAAGGTAGATCGACATCACAAGGTACGTCAAGGGGGACACCTGGGTTTTGCAATCGACTAATACATGGACCTGCAGACGTGGCATCTCCCTAAAAGAAAGAAAAAATTAGTTAGATGAGCAAATGAAATTGTTATACCAAGTTCAGTCAATCAGTCAGCTACAAAGTAGGACCAGGCACATATATGCATCGGTCTAAGCTGCCACACCTCATTAACATTCATAGTAGGTACTTCAATGGTAGTACCAAGCTATTAAGAAACATACGCAAACTATTGTATTGAGCCAATAAGAGAATAGTAAACATGTGAGAATTTATCGATAGTTAATGTCCACAGAAAAGATTGCATACCATAAAATTTGAGACCAGTCCAAAATGTGAGTGTGAATTCTGCGGATTTGTAGACTGAGAGTAGACGGAGTTTTGCTGTTTCCTGATCATCAGTGATTGCAAAATAGGCACCAGATTGGAAGTCGTTCCTGACTGAGAAAACAAGCCACAGTTTTTTGATGAGCCAATAGGTATGCCACGAGATTTAATGGCTTGATCATCTATGAAAGGATCCGAATAATGAGTAAGAGGATCAACGATTGGATCGATTGATTCGTTTATATCAGTTGAATCTCCTTGAGGTAATTTAAGCTGAGCTTCAATTTCTTCAACAGTTAGTACTGCTGGTTTTGATTCTAAATAATTAAGTTATATGATTATCAGGGTGCACTCACCTTTGACCGGCCCAACATTCGGGGGATTAACAGGGCCATGTCCAAGTAGAATAGAGCGAAGCTTATTTTCAACTTGAAGAGTTGAAAAAGAATTAGGATTTGTAGATACCATACCACTGTTCTTTTCAGGACTGAGATGACTGGCAGAATTTCCGCACGGACCTTTCAGCAACCTAAGTAACTGTTCGTTGATATTGTCTAAAGAAGCTGGTTTGTTCGGAAGCTTATTTTCATCTGATATCTCATTCTTTTGAAACAGGTGTTTGAAACGGCTTCCTTGATTATCGGACATCACCTGATCCGTGACACTCGTTGTGGATTTGCTTGGTTGTTCAGGGAATGCATTGCTGTCGTCTTCCAAGGCTTTGTCATCAAAGACGTTTCTATTACTAATGCTCGAATTTGTCAATATACTATCATCAACTTGCGAAATATCATTTCCCACTCCTACACACTTTCTGAGTGAGCCACATTCCACGGTTTCTTCTAAAATTCCTCCAAGTTCAATCGTTTCGTTAACCGTGGTAGGACCTTCTGCAAACCACTCAGGTTCATCATCGCTGTGCGAACAAGAAATTCGACGGTCATGACTGTAACGGTCTTCTCTGTTGTGGTTTTTAACAAACGGAGCACTTTCAGCATGTTTTCCCAGCCCGCGATCACGACCTCGACCGGAGCCACGAATATCGTTGGACCGATACTCTCTTTTGTAGTCACTAGTCGTTTTACAATGCTGCTTGTCGTAGGATCGGTTTTCTGAGTTAAATTTAGGCCAACGAGTAGAATTGTTTGCATCTGACGTTTCACGACCTTGAGGCTGTTGAGAGACATGACAACCAGTGTTCCATGAACGTTTTTGAGGACCGAGGACTATGTTGGAAGCATCTCGAGTCTTCTCTGTACAAACCGTTTGTTAATGAATTTACTTAACGTACCACCTCCCTGAGTTTTAGAAAAAGAATTGTGTCTAGGCCTTCCGCGAGTTGAACGCATAACAGAAGCATTTATCCGAGAGAATTCGTCCGAAAATTCAGCAGTAGAAACCGCATTTTCTTTAACTGCCAGGATTTCTTCCTAATAGCGTAGAACATTATTTTGTCGAACAAACTTACTCGGGTATAATGGATTCGACAGCTCTTAGACTCACATTGACCATCAGACTTACGTTCACCCATTTGAAAAACGCAGGGAGGATTGTCAATTTGATAAGTGGCCAGGAAACAGCCAAAAACAAACCCAATACCTGCAACAACCCAAGCCCCTACTAAGAGTACATGAAATCGTAAGCTCCAAACAGTCCGCCTCACTAACGGGAAGTAGCGCCGCAATACAAATTCAATCGTGAAAATTATAGCTACAACATGTCTAGATAAGTCGATCATGCTCAACTGAGGTTCTAGAAGTGTAATCTCTGAGGGACTGGATAACTCTCTGCTAAATCAAAGCATGAAGGGGCATCAACTTATATCTTTGTGATGTTAGAACCCTCACAATTGACTGTGGTGTCTCCTTTTCTTTAGATGTATTGTGACGTTTGTATATCATGACCATTAATTTGTACGTCGTTTGTGTTTAAGTACGGTTACAACTTTAAATACAATTTGAAGAGCCAGTCAGGATGAAATTCATGTGCGTAAATCTAAACGCTACGTTTAACATGTATTCGAAACACTGTTGTTTACATCTGAAAACGCGTAAAATGCTAACGAAAAGTCACCTTTGCCAACGTAGGATGGATTGATAGTGTTGAAAGCATCAAATATTCAATTCCGTCACTGTAGAATGCATATAACAGGTAAATCGACCCGATACACCAATTCCTATAAACACCCGTGACCTAGATCTATTTGAGTTTTAAGCAAGAGCTAATCAAACAATTCTTAATGCGCTTTTTGCAAAATTCATCTTTCCATGTGGTTACTGCAAAATTCATCTTTCCATGTGGTTACAGAGCATCTTTTCGTCATATCTGATGCCCGTTTGAGAGAAAAACAGCAATCCTGAACTACTTACCCATACTTCGAATACATACCCGTAACTCGGAACAGCGTGAAGACGCTTAGAACTTAGACGCTCCATTCACTATTAGAACTAGGGAGGACAGAAAGCGTATGTATAAGAAAGAATTCATAAGACGTCGTTTTTTCATTTTTCTGACAAAATATGGAGATTACTACTTACTTACTTACGCCTGTTACTCCTCGTGAAGGAGCATAGGCCGCTCACCAGCATTCTCCATCCAACCCTGTCCTGGGCAATCCTTTCTAGCTCCGTCCAGTTGTAATTCATCGTTTTCATATCTGCTTCTATTATCCGACCCAATGTGTTCTTTGGCCTTCCTCTTTTCAGCTTCCCTTCAGGATTCCAAGTTAGGGCTTGCCTCGTGATGCAGTTTGACGATTTGCGTAATGTATGTCCTATCCATTTCCATCGTCTTTTCCTAATTTCTTCTTCAGCTAGAAGTTGGTTTGTTCTCTCCCACAGAAGGCTATTGCTGATGGTATCCGGCCAATGGATGTTGAGTATCTTGCGTAGACAGCTATTTATAAATACTTGTACTTTCTTGATTGTGGTTGTTGTAGTTCTCCAAGTTTCAGCTCCATACAGTAGAACTGCCTTGACGTTCGTATTGAAGATTCTCACTTTGATATTTGTTGAAAGTTGTTTTGAGTTCCATATGTTCTTCAATTGTAGGAATGCGACCCTTGCTTTGCCGATCCTCGCCTTTACGTCTGCATCGGATCCTCCTTGTTCATCGATGATGCTTCCCAGGTATGTGAAGGACTCTACATCTTCCAGAGTTTCGCCACCAAGTGTGATTGGATTGCTGTTCTCCGCTTTGAATTTGAGGACCTTAGTTTTCCCTTTGTGTATGCTGAGGCCTACTGATGCAGAGACTGCTGCTACACTGGCTGTCTTTATCTGCATCTGTTCGTGTGTACGTGATAGGAGGGCTAGGTCATCTGCGAAGTCCAAATCGTCTAACTGATTCTGAGCTGTCCATTGTATGCCGTGTTTTCCTTCAGATGTTGAGGTCTTCATAATCCAGTCGACCACCAGAAGAAAGAGGAAGGGAGAGAGTAAACAGCCTTGTCTGACTCCGGTTCATACTTGGAATGCATCTGTCAGCTGTCCTCCATGCACGGCCTTGCACTGTAGTTCGTCGTATGAGTTCCGGATAATATTGACAATCTTCTCAGGAACTCCGTAGTGTCGGAGAAGTTTCCATAATGTCCTCCTATCTACACTGTCGAATGCCTTTTCATAATCAATGAAGTTGATGTACAGTGATGAGTTCCACTCAACTGATTGTTTGACGATGATCCGTAGTGTTGCAATTTGGTCTGTGCATAACCGATCCTTACGGAATCCAGCTTGTTGATCTCGAAGTTGGGCGTCTACTGCATACTTCATCCGGTTCAGCAAAACTCTGTTGAAGACTTTCCCTGGTATTGACAGTAGTGTAATGCCTCTGTAGTTTTCACATTTGCTCAGATCTCCTTTCTTTGGAATCTTGACGAGGTGTCCCTCTTTCCAGTCCATCGGCACTTGTTCCTCCTCCCAAATTTTTTTGAATAGAAGGTAAAGCATGTTTGTAGTTACTTCGATTTCTGACTTCAGTGTTTCAGCTGGTATGTTGTCGGGTCCTGCTGTTTTCCCGTTCTTGATTTGTCTGACGGCCATTCTAATTTCTTCCGTAGTTGGTGGATTGACATCTATAGGAAGATCTATGTGTGCTGCTTCGATGTCCGGTGGATTCATTGGAGCCGGCTTATTCAGGAGTTCCTCAAAGTGCTCTACCCATCTGTTACGCTGTTGTTGAATTTCGGTGATTTTCCTGCCTTCTTTGTCTTTGACCGGCCTCTCTGGTTTACTGTATTTCCCTGCTAGTTTCTTCGTTGTATCGTAAAGCTGTTTCATATTTCCTTCTCTAGCAGCTTTTTCTGCCGTCGTTGCTAGTTCTTCAACGTATTTCTTCTTGTCGGCTCTAATGCTCCTCTTCACTTGTTTGTTTGCTTCTATGTATTCAGCTTGTGCTTGGACTTTCTCTGCTCGTGTTCGGCTGTTGTTTATTGCTGCTTTCTTGTTCTTCCTTTCTTTGATCTTGTCCAGAGTTTCTGTAGAGATCCATTCCTTATGATGGTATTTCTTTAGACCCAGAACCTCTTGACACGTTGAAGTTAATGCTTCCTTGATGCCTTTCCAGTTGTCCTCCATACTAGTTTCTTCTTCTTTCAGTAGATCTTGTAAGGCTTGGAACCTGTTGTTGAGAGCTATCTTGAATTCATTGAGTTTGTCAGTATCTCGAAGGAAGGCTGTATTGAACCTTTGTAGTGCTATTTGTCCAGTCGTCCAGTTCTTCTTTAGCTTCAGTTTTAAATTGGCCAGAACTAGGTGGTGATCTGAAGCTGTGTCAGCTCCGCTCCTGGTTCCCACATCTTCCATTGTCCTTCGGAACTTTTTATTGATGCAAATATGATCTATCTGGTTCTCTGTGTGAGATCCATGTAGCCTCGTGTATACGCTTGTGTGGAAATATTGTGCCCCCTATTACCAGTTTGTTGAATGCACATAGATTTGCAAATCTTTCTCCATTTTCTTTCTTTCTCCCAGTCCATGTCGTCCCATAATATCTTCATATCCAGTGTTGTCTATTCCGACTTTGGCATTTAGATCTCCCATCAGAATAGTTAGGTCCTTTCTTGGGCATTTCTCAATGATTGACTGCAGCCGCTCGTAAAACTGATCTTTAATTTCGTCGTTGCTATCATTGGTGGGTGCATAACATTGGATAATATTCATTGTGATCCCCTCCTTCTTTGTTTTGAATGATGCTTTGATGATTCTGGATCCGTGAGATTCCCATCTTACAAGTGCATTTCGCGCTACTTTGGACAGCATAAGAGCGACTCCATGAGTGTGTGGAGCATTGTCCTCTTCGTAACCGGAGTATAGCAGCATCTCTCCCGTGGCTAGCCTTTTCTGTCCAGCTTGGGTCCAGTGGGTTTCGCTGATTCCCAGTACTGCTAAGTTGTATCTCCTCATTTCCATTGATATTTGACTGGTCTTCCCGGTTTTCCACATTGTTCGAACGTTCCATGTACCTATAAAAATTTTTGCTCTGGTTGTTAGACGGAGATGGAGATGGCTTACATTAACTTGTAAAGATGACACAAGTATTCGGAGTTTTAAAACACTTTTGCTTATAATACCTTTAAAATGTAAGTAAACCAACCCAGTGAAATCAGAAGTCAGAAATAAAGTGGTTCGAAAATATATTTGGGAGGCTATCGTTATGCCAAGAGGCGTTTAATCTAAGTTGGTTGGCAGTTGTAAGGGATGCGAAGCACGGTCTACTCGTGATCTGGTGCCTATGCGTGACCGACCACCTTCAGCTAGCTGTGTCCAGTAATATTAACGAGGTCAGCATCAATGTCGGAAACTCACAGATCTATTTATTTAGAAGACTTTTACCGTTAAACTAGTTTTGTAATAAACTTTTGTCATTTTACACATTTTCCATAGTTGCATATAGTTTATACATTCACTGTTTCTGATCGCAAAACTGTTGCCTGAATTCGGGCGTGACTTTTCCGTCATTGTTTTGTGTTTGCATAGCATACTAGTTATCGCTGACAGATCCATTTCTGCCCGTACGCTTCTCGTTCTCACTTTATCGGCTGCTACGTTAACAGTTCTGTAACGTAATTGCTATACACATTTATGGATACAAATAGCGTCCTCATAACTCGATTATTCCCGATATACATTACCTTGGATCATGCATGTCGTGTCCGGAATTCCCAACTACTTATTATAATTATGGATTACATGACAAAATCTCAGACACTCTTGTAACTAACAATGTAAGTAAAGAGCAGCATTTTTACATGTGTGTTGGTATTTTAATGCACTATTAGTTGTCTTTACAACTTTTTCAACGACGGCCGCGTCGATCAACCTTGAAGGTCTTTTCGTGACGAGAAATCACGTGAAAAGGTCCTTTGTAAGGCTTGATGATGTCACAGGTATTCAGTGTTTGACAACGCTTCTACCAGTAACACCTTCCAATATATTTCGTTCCCGCCCAGAGAAATCAAAAGACAGAGTCGAGGAGATCGGAAGAGTATATTTGGCGATGACCAATATATCGGAATTCTCTGATCTAATCTGGCTAGCGATTGCGGTTGATGTTGAGCACGGCGTTACCACACGTGATCTGGTGCGGATGTCTGACCGAGCGCCTTCAGCTAGATGAGTCCACAAAAACATATGGTCAGTATCCAATGTCGAAAACTTACAGAGCTATTTATTTTGGGGATTTA